TGTACTCTAAGGCAAATCTAGGCCTTCGGGCTACATCTTGAAAACTCCGAAAACAACCCCAAGCCCCTATAAAACCTAGAAACCCTAAACGCTCCTAGCCCCTAAAAACCCTAACCCTGATTTCCTGATATCTGCCACTGTAGGAGGGCCCCTCATAGGTTACGTCCCGAAGCTTCTGCCTCTGACAGGCACCCTGCCTACACCTTTGGCGTGGGCTGGGTGCTCCTGAAAAGCCGAAAGGTGGAGGGTTCGTTGGGGGGTGGGGAGGGGTTGGGCGCGTTAGGGCTTAGGGTTTGGGGAAGGGGGGGTGTTGGGGGTGGGTTGAGAGAAAATGAAAGGTGTGGTGGGGGGGGGGGGTGGTTTTCTGAAAGCACAGCAACGCCCCGACATCCGACCTTAAGAACTCCACAGCCTCTTGTGGAAGGGTTTGGCGGGTTTAGGGTTAAGGGTTTGGTTTAGGGTTTAGGGTTTAGGGTCTAGGGTCTAGGGTCTAGGGTCTAGGGTTTAGGGTTTAGGGTTTAGGGCTTAGGGCTCAGGTCTTAGGGTTTAGGGTTTAGGGGTTAGGGTTCAGCCATATCTGTCTCCTCCGAATTCGTCAGTTCTCAACATGTTGAGAGTTTAGGGTTTAGGGTTTAGTGAATAAAGAGGCTGCTTTATAAGCAGGACGCCAAACAGGGACCATCTCTTTGAGAATGCCCCCCGTATGGACCCTTCATGTTGGGCTGAAGGCCATCAAGTAAACCCTACACCCTGAACCCTAAAGCCTAGGTTTGAGAGGACCTTCGGACTTCGGATTTGCTCCGCGTATCGGGAGTAAGGTATGCCCAACCGCCTCAATCCCCAGCTGCGAAAGCTACTGTAAGGGTTGGCCACGGCTTGGGGCTCAGGGGCTCAACAACGTGAGGGAGCTAACCGATTCTCCACTGCCCAAGCCCAGAACACTAAACCCTAAACCCTAAACCCTAAACCCTGCAGCTTCATTTTGGGCCAAGCTTCCCAAGAGTTCAGGGGGTCTCTGCTCTCACGGATTTCTGAACAGAGGCATGGCGTCCTGGCCGCAGATGGAGCCGCAGAAAAAAGCGTTCCCAAGTATCGAGACTGTGTACTGGTTCTTAGTCCGGAATGAGGGACTTAGGTACCTGATACAAAGCACATAACTCCTTCATTCCCTACTAAGTCGTAGAAGCAAGAACTCGTTACTTGGTTGATCTTGTTCATGGGGCTGCTACTGATTGTCAGTTATCTGCTTCTGCAGTGATCCACAATTTAGTCGTGCGATTATGACTAGACTTTTCTCAGTATGTTTGGTTTGTTTGCTTGTTTGCTTGTGTGTGTGTGTTGTGATTTTTGAGGGATGGGGGCTTGGTAACCATCGATTGGGCTACTGACAGGTCGCCTGCCTTACTTATTTGTTGGGGCTTCGGGCTTGCGGCTCTTCCTGAACCCAAAGGTGTCAAGGACACGTGAGTACACAGTGAGTACCTGAGCGTTCGGATCCCGAAGCTAGCGACCTACCAATGATGCCACCACGCCCCTTCAAAGATCACAAACTCGAGGCCTTTGGGGTTTAGGGATTTGGGGGGGGGGGGGGGGGGGAGTCGGGCCTTGAGACTTCGTCAGCGAAGGCGGAGCGCACCCGTCAAAGCAGCTTTTTGGATGCGAGTGTGTCCGCGCAAACCAGCAAGGTCTGGGGATGTTGAAGGCTGACTCAGGGTCCCAGAACCCCATGCCCTTAAGCAAAGTTAAGCTCTGTCCTGCCTGGTGTTTAGGGCGCTTCTTGCCACCCCTTGGGTTTAGGGTTGAGGGTTTAAGGTAGTGCGTTTCAGGATTGAGGTCCATCTTCGGCAAGACGCTACCCTTGAAGCCCTGAACCCCCGTGCGTGAGGTCGTCTCAACGACGCGGGCACACTAAACACACCCTACTTCCTAAACCCGTTTGCCCTAAACCCCAACACCCATTTTGCCCTAAACCCTGATTTAATCCACCCTTTTTTGAATCCATGCCTCTGCTCTAAACCCGAAACCCTAAACCCGAAACGCCTAAACCCTTAACCCTATATCATCGTGCCCTGTCTTAGGGTTGGCAACTCGGGTGCCGGGACTCTCTGCTTCAATTTGAAGCGCCGAGGCGGCTGTCGTGCCCTCGCACTGCCTTCCTTGTTTGAGGTTTGGGGTTTAGGGTTAGGGCTTCATAGGGTCTAGGGTTCAGGGTGTAGGGCCAGCAACCCATTTACAGCAAGTAGGCTGCGGACAATGATTCACACCTCCAACAAAACCCTGGCTATACCACACCTGGGTAGCCTGGTAAAGCGTAGCAAACATATTAAAATAAGGGTACCCATTTTGGTTGGATACTTCATAAGGGAACACAGAGCAAAAAATGAGTTGTGTTCAAAACCTAACAACCCCACACCGAGGGTGGGGAAAAGTAAAGGGTACCACTGGGCTACCAAAGTAGAACTGGGCAACTCGGGGGCCAAATGGACAGTCCTGCCCCCTTGGGCTGAGGTTGCTTTCGGAGGGCAAGGCTCGCAATGCTGACGCAGCAGGAGCCTTCACCCAGCTCCACCATCTGGGGGGGTGTCCGAACGTAGGGGTCCCCTTTTTTGGGGGATCCGTTTAAGGGGATTCGATGTTGCGTGGCTTTGAGGGGTAGGAAGGTGTTCATGGCCGATTTGGTGTCTTAGCAGCCACTATGGGCAAGGCCAGGGGCCTTGTTTGCGGCCCGTGTGAGGACACGCTGCCGGCAGCCTCTGTTGACAGAAGTGTCCCTGTCTTCTGTTCAGGGGAGCCGACATCGACGTAAGGTTTTACGTGTTGGAAACCATCACGGCTCATCGTTGCGGGCAAAGACTCCCAGGTCCAGTAGCTCATGTTAGACATACCTTTCGCGCCTCGACCCCAGCTTCACGACCCTGATAAGCCCTACTTATGGTTTTGCAGGCCACCTAAGAAGGAACCCCGCATGCTGTGAAAAACGGCCTTTCACATAACAGCAGACTGCAGAGCCTGGACTGGAGAGTGCTGCGAAAAGGCACGGAATCGCACTGAAACAGGGTACAGTTGAGGGGGGTTGGGAGCCAGCAGCTCCAAGCCGATGCACTCATGCTGCAGTCGCTCACGTTAGCATTGCTGCCTCTCCCCCCCCCTCCTCCCACCTCATCGCAAAATGCCGTGCAGTGACGGTCCCTGGCCTTCACAGCCAGGGCACCGCAGGGGCACCGGCGTGCTGATCCTGCTTTTGGGTTCTCGTGAAAAGTGAGATATCATGAATCATGACGCTCAAGGTGGTTGCTCGATTCTTGTGGAACGGGCATGCACTTCATGTCCTACTTGAATCTGCCATGTGGGCAGGACCCCGCAGAGCTGTGAATTCCGTTTTGAGTGAGACGACTTTTACTGTACAAGCGCCTCTCAGTCAGCAAACGCCAGCAAGCATGGCAACAGACGTGGTGCAGCAGGTCACACCGCATCTGCCCTACAAATCAATCTCAAAAAGCATGGGAGGGTGGCACCATTGCAGCCACCACTTTCGTCCAAAATGCCATGCGCAATCCCGAACGAAAGTTTAGGAAACACGAAGCGGTCAAAATCCGCCCTCCCAGCCACTGTCTTATTCACAGATGACGTTAGCCCCTGGTCGCCCTCAGGTTTGTGCTTTAGGCAACCTCGCCGGGTGGTATTCCATGCACGCAGCGTCCCCATTTGCTTGGATGCTTCAGTTTCAAGGCTTCGGTCTACAGTTCATGTTCCTAAACCCTAAACCCTAAACCCTAAACCCTAAACCCTAAACCCTAAGACCTAAACCCAGCCGGAACACTGCGGATCTGAAGCTTAACGCCCATAGTGCTCCAGATTTCTGGAGCGAGCTGATGTGCCTCAGGGTGTCCTGTACACATCGCTTTAAGCTTTGTTAACAGCTTCAGTACGAAGCAGCATGCGTTTAAGACCGCATGCTCCTGCGAAGCCCTGTGAACGGCCAGTGCTCTATGACAGCGGTAGCCTTCAGAACTGAATATGGGGGGGCCTTAACAACCAGAATAGGGCTTCGGAGGTTACTAATAGTATACATACAAAGAGACCATGAGAGAAGAATATTAGTAATTCTTCCGGCCCCTATATGAGATGTCACAGAAAGGCCTTGCTGAATGCTGCGTACACGGTATCCTGAATCCCTGAACTTCTTGTGACCCAAGCCTGTGCCAAAATTAAACTCTGGTCGTCCACAGGCGTCGGCAGCCCAGCTACCTGCGACAAGGCGCGCTGCACCGGGTGGAGGTGTGCAGTTCTGTTTTGAGCTTTTTTACAGACAAGCGCCCCTAAGCCCTGTAAACCCCAAACCCTAAACCCTAACCCCTAACCCTCCCAGCCAACTTCATATGGTTTCATTACAGTGGGTTCAGGTCTTCGGGATCCCCTAAACCCTAAACCCTAAACCTTAAACCCTAAACCCTAAACCCTAATGGGCATCTTGTGCAAGTTCGGCTCCAGGGTTCGGCGCACTGGCCGTTGAGCCCCTTTAAGGCGCAGCCACTTAAGTAGGGTTTAGGGGGTTTAGGGTTTAGGGTATAGGGTTTTTTCGACCCTGAACCCTTTTGCAACGGGCTTCTGAGGGCTGCGCCTGGCAGTGTCTTACTGTTCTCCGGACCCTGAACCCTGAAACCTGAAGGGTTTAGGGTTTAGGAGCACCCTGGTGCGTTTTCTCTTACGGGCTAGCAGCCTCTGGAAAGCTCCCCGCTCTCACCGAACAAAGCCGACCCTGAGTCTCCTCCTGTTTAGGGTTTACGGTTTAGGGTTTGGGATTTGGGGTTTAGGGTTGCTAGATTAATATTTGCTCCCCAAAAAAACAAATATATTCGTCCTGATAATGGTAATATAGGGACTGCTGTCTCTTTTTGTTTTTCCTTTTGTTCTTTTTGTAAAGGGGGGGGGAGGTTAAGCAAATAGTAGCTTGGGGTTTGATCACGTTGGCATGATGAGGCGTAACCCTAAACCCGGCCTCATAGCGACTCGAGCTGCTTCTTGGCTTCCTGCGCTGTAGCTTTGAGCACCAGGAGTCTTCTTTTTCATGTACATGGGCAGGTAGAGCACATGTCAGGGTGAGTTTGGCCATGTCGTTCCACGAACCGGCTCTGATGCAGTGAGTCTCCAAATGGAAGCCAACAAAAAGGCCTGTGAGACTTGCAGTGTCTAGATCGGGAAGCCTCCTGAAACCTAATACGCGTATCCTCATCCATGTTTACATTAAGTTATATGTTATATACAATGTTCTTATTATTGTTAGATATAGTATACATGGTCTGACATTCTATGTAACGTACAAGATCTGTCTAGCATTGTATATCATGTACAGTAGAAAATTTACGTATAACAATATATATATATACATATCTGTGTAGATAATTATTATACACATACATGCCATGTTACATTTTGCCTTCGACTATGTTCGATAAAAATACGCATTGGGTCCCCATATGTCCATCTAGAAAGCCCAGAGCAACCGCTCCCCTAGACCCATCATTGTCGTTGCCTTTTTGAGACGTCCCTAATTTGTGGGAAAGTATGACCAATCAGATGTTGGGCGGTTCTCTAGATTGGGTTCCCTTTCAGGTCCTTCATAAGGGTGCCGTATTTTATCTCGGACCCACAAAGGGACCCCAATTTAGAGAACTAATTTTTGGGATGTTCCCCTTCTGCTAACAGTCCTTGATAGGGATTATGATAGTCATAATCGGGGGTACCTTTATCCCTATTAAAGACTGTTCGTAAAAGGGGGAACATCCCAATACTAGTAACCCCAAACCCAAACCCCAAAAAAACCCAATTAAACCCTGAACCCTAAACCCTAACCCCTAAACCGCTCCCTGGCTTATTCTGAGCCCACTCCTGCGAGCTGCATCCCCTGGCCGTCGCGGCAATACTAAGGAAGTCACCTGGGAGCGGAGAGGGGTTTAGGGTTTAGGGTTTGGGGTTTAGGGTTTGGGGGGTTTAGGGTTTAATTGCTGCAGGTGTCTGCTTTTTGGGGTTTAGGGCCCTAAACCAGGTTCAGTCTCTTCAGAGCAGCAGCCTTTCCACTTGAAACCCCTCACTTAAACCCTCGTCTCTGCTTCACTCCCTATTCCCTAAACCCTAAACCTTTATTTTTTTTGGAAGTAGGATTTAGGGTTTAGGATTTAGGGTTCAGGGGGCCTCCCTCGCTGGGGCCGGTAGGATTTAGGATTTCGGGTTTAAGGTTCAGGGGCCTCTGGGGCTTGTAGGATTTAGGATTTAGGGTTCAGGCGCCTCTCTGGGTCCTTTAGGATTCAGGATTTAGGGGCCTTCAGGATTTGGGGTTTAGGGTTCGGGGGGCTCTCTGGGGATTTTAGGATTTAGGGTTCAGGGGCCTCTCTGGGGCCTTCAGGATTTAGTATTTTAGTGTTTAGGGTTCAGGGGCCTCTCTGGGGCATTTAGGATTTAGGACTTAGGATTGAGCATTCCAGGTGCCTGGATCCAAAAACGGAAGGGTCTCCAAAACCATCTGTCTCTGTACTAAAAAATCGCCCTTTCATGGTGGCTCCAACCCAATCCTGGGTTCCTTCCGATTGTTCGCAACTCAGCATTAGGATTGAAGATTTGGAGCCTTTAGGATTCAGGGTTCTTGGGCCTCTCTGGGGCCTTTAGGATTTAGGACTCCAGGTGCCTTGGATCCCAAACAGAAGGATCTCCAGAACCATCTGTTTCTGCACTAAAATCGTATTTTCTTTGTGGGTCCGACAAAATCCTGGGTTCCCCCCCGATTCTGGGCATTTTAGTGTGGGGATTTCAGGCCTTAAGGGCTGAGGGAGTCGGATGACAAAAAAAATCGGTGCTAGATGACTGCGTTTGCGGGCTGAAAAAAATGGCTCGATTACAAATAGATTAAGTAAGAAAAATATGTAACTCAGATGAAAAGGGAGTGAAAAAGATATGTAACTCAGATGAAAAGGGAGTCTGGGAGGGTGGGGTGATACCAAACACATAGTGATGTAAACAAGCCTAGCGACTGGCCGGCTCAGGCCAATCGTAACCCTAAACCCTAAACCCTAAACCCTCAACCCTAATTCCTAATTCCTAAACCCTAAACCCTAAACCCTAACCCTCCCTCTCAGAGAGCTTTCAGCAAGAGCCCACACCCTCAAGATGATCGCAGGTGGTAGCGCAAAGCTTGTCGAAAGACAAGGAGGACGCCCCTGACCACACCCTAAACCGCCTAAACCCTAAACCCTAAACCCGAAACCCTAAACCCTAAACCCTAAACCCTACCAAGAAGCTCTTTTGGAGGACCTTCGGCACCATGTCGGCCCGTTCGGTCTTCAGCTTCTTGATGATGCCAGCCCTGGGATGCCGGGCTGTCTGTTTAGGGTTTAGGGTTTAGGGAGTTTGGAGTTTAGGGTTTAGGGTTTAGGGTTTCGGCTGTTTAGTTGTCCAGAAACCTGGGGGAATTAAAGGTTAACCTTTGGGATTCTAACGGAATTCTACTACCCCAACAGGGTTAAAGGTTACCTACTCTACTACTAGGGTGTTAGTATAAGGCCCTGGTAGGTTTTTAGGCTTGAACCAAGAGGTTACCGGGTTGTTCACATAGGGCCTTATAATCATTAGAATAGGATTTATTTTTTTTTTTGGGGGGGGAAGGGGGGAAGGGGGCTGGGGGGTATGACAGATACTTGGCAAGGGAACCTCTAGTTCTTAGTAGGGAATGGGGGAAGGGCCCTATACCCTTTGAAGGACTAAGGGCACCTCTTAACTTCCTTAGGATGTTAGGGCTGTTAGGGGGTTTTGGGGTTTAGCATTTCAGGTTCTTTACCCAACCTGCAAAGCCTTGAGCCCTAAAGGAAACGCCCCACCACCCTCCTCGCCCCAAAACCAGGGCCAGGGGGTACCTTTAACTCGGTATTTCTCTTGAAGGGTGAGTTCTCTTGAAGGAAGAGCTAAAGGTCAGGCCTTGGGAATCTTATAGCCCAAGAAAAAGGTGACATAATCGACTGCTGCGCACTTCAGGAGAGCGGCAGCAAGTTCCACCCCAGCTTCTTGGTCTCATCGTCACCATGTGACACAAAAGCTTGGAGGGCTTTCAGAACGACCTGGGGGTGGGGGGGGGGGGGGGCTGAGCTCGGGGTCTGGGTGCTTGCAGCTTCGTGAAGGGCTTGTGTTGTCGCGTTGCCATAAACCTTACACCTGGATGCTGAACGACAAGCGAAAGCCATCATTGCCACATGTCTACCTTCTGGAGAAGCACTAAGCAGCCTAAAGCACTAAGCAGCAAGCCCCAAGCATCCTGTGAGACATGAATTCGTCGCCAAGAAAGGTAAATCAGTGTCACACGCCAGTATAACCAGTTGTAACTTGGTCGCTTCCTTGCTCAATCGGAGCTGAGCCCTTTAGTCTTCATGGCCCTTGCCCCTAGATCCAGAGGTGACAGATGTTCTCTTGCTTCGCAAGCACTTCCTGAAGATTCGCATAATCACCTAAACAATTCAGCGTGAACAAAACAGGAGCGAAGGAATGGATGAGCGAGTTCATGTAGCAGGCCATTTACTTTGGCTTGGGTGCGCCCTAATGCTTCTTTCCTGAGTTGAAGTTAAAGAGACCATGAAGCATGAGAAGCTGTCTTAGGCCCTTGTGAGAAGACGAGCTAACCAAGAGACTGCTGGGGGGTGCAGGGTCAAGCTTGGGATGTGCTCCTTTATACTAACAGTCCTAAATAGGGATGATAATAGGGGGTACGATAATCCCTATTAAGGAGCTGTTAGTATAAGGGGGAAGACCCGAATACTAGTAACCCTACACCCTAAACCCTAAACCCTAAACCCCAAACCCCAAACCCTGACTTCCTGTGCGCGAAAGCTGCGCTGTTGAAGGCATCACCCAGCATGAAGAGCCGGGCCATGAGCGCGTGAACGAAGCCATCTGCATGTGGCACGTCCATCCTTCAGCATGAGAGGGCTGAGGGTTTAGGGTTTAGGGTTCAGGGTTCAGGGTTGAGGGTTTAGGGTTGAGGGTTGAGGGTTGAGGGTTTAGGGTTTAGGGTTTAGGTTCAGGGTTTAGGGGGCTTGGAGTACAAGCCGGCGCGAGTTCTGTGGGGGTTTTCGAAATTCGGGGCACCTTCTTGGGGTCCTTAATATAAGGGAACCCTGCTATTCGGGGATCTACATTGGGGGTGCCATTTTTGTAAAACCCCGTATAACAGGATGCTTAGAGTTCTTTTTATGCTTCGGTACATTCCAACCAAGAGAACAAGTGTTGCTCGCTGAAAGCACGCTTGCGCACAGCACTGCTTCTGCTGCCCGGCGGTGCAGACTCACAATAAATGGCTCCTCATAAACTTATAAATGGGAGTGTCTGTGGTTGTGTCTGTTGTTGTTTTTGTTAACTTCAGTTTGCGGAGCGGGGCTCCAAATCCTAATGCTACCCTAGAAAGGGGGTAGGAAAGCCACCCTGCAAAGCATACGGCAGGAATAACGGAGCGCTACAGGCGCTACAGTTCTTCCTCCTCTTGGTACCCCAGTAACCATACGTAAAAAATAGGGCACCTGTTGGTTACTTGAAAAAGGAACCTTGAACCAAAAGAAGTTAACAAATGGCACCACTGGGCCACCAAGCCCAAGCCCTTCCAGCAAGGCAAGTGCAGCCCAGTGTCATCATGTCGGAAAGCGATTCCAACCTGGCGGAGAGGTTGTCCTTCCATGCGGTTGCGGACACAGGCTGTAAACCCGAAACCCTTCCTGGGACTCTATTTTCCTACCGTTTAGTAGGAACGACCCCTTAATTAGTAGGTAGGATTTGACGACCTGCGATTTCAGAGGCCCTCGAAAAAAATCTAGAACCCTTAAAACTGTAGGTAAAAAGGGTCACAGGTAGACCCTACCCCTAGAGACTCCGAAAGCCCAGTAAACAGTAAGTCGCTTGGTCGAGAAACAGGGCCTGGAGAGAAGAAGGCGGCTCCCGAAAGGGTTTAGGGTTTAGGGTTTACCCTAAACCCTAAACCCTAAAACCTAAACCCTGACCCCTAAACCCTAAACCTTTAGGGTTTAGGGTTTGGGATGGGTTTTTTGAATGGGTTTCCGACAGGTATTTCGAAGGGTTGTTTGAATTGTAGGACCGGGTTCTCGCTGCAGAAACGCTGTTTTGAAAGCTTGGGCACCCAAAACCTGGTTTCCGCATGACGACCCTCCTTTTGTTGGGGTCTTGGCTCCCTAAGGTAAACCCGATCACCTTAACCCAATGAAAACCGCTAAGCAGTACAAAAAACGCTGCAGGGTCCTAAACCCTAAACCCTAAACCCTTTTTTGAGACTGTCCTTGAGCATGTCCCAGGGGATCAGTCGACGCTTGACGAGCTCGGCGATGACCTGAGCCGTGACGTCCTGCTTGCTCCGGTCCTGGGACAGCAGGTTCTGGCAGCCAGCCCCCCCTATGCTTGGAAGTGCAGTAAACTCCAGAAAGTTGAAACATGGTTGGAGGATGATTAGAGCTGGGATTCCCTTTAGGCTACCTTTTTGGGGGATGGGGATAACGATGTTCCAACTTTTTGAAGTTTACTGGGGGGGGGGGGGTTCTAAGGGCCCAAGGCTACCAAAGTGAGGGTACCCTACTTGTAGGGCTTGGGGGGCCCTTTCTCAGGCTTCACTCTTGAATGGTCTTTTGTCTCGTGCCAGCCCGGCCTAGCTTCACTGCACCATGCTGCAGGGACTAGCCGGGAGATTGGTCTGGGACATACGGCTTTCAGACTGGGGGCGGAGTAGGGGTATTTAAGGGCTTAGGGTCGAGAGAGTCTTCTGCAAAAAGGCACGAGAGAGTGAGAAATAGACAGACAGCTCAACAGTGAGAAATAGTCCAGACCCCGATGCTTGAATCGTGCATCACTCGAATAAGTCAACCCAAACCCCAAACCCTAAACCCTTGTGAAACTTTGCTGGCTGTCAAAAAACAAAAATGTGCCTTGATGAAGAAACCAGCCCACGATGAAGACAGGATCGAACAGACACGCGCGCGCGCACACACACACACACGCACACACTCTCGTTTCGGGATGTACGTTCAAAGCGAGTGCGGTTGAGCAAATCTCGCCCCATTGGGGGTCCCATCCATCAGGACAAATAGCCCACAGGACTCTATGCAAACCAGTACAAATAACCCTAAACCCTTTTGCCTTGAACCGAGTGAGGTTCGACATGGAGAACCTTGCCCACTTAAGAGGTAGCGGGTTCCGACAACAGGGTCGATAGGGGTATCCTTTTTGGGATTCCTAGAAGGGTTTAGGGTTTAGGGTTTTTTTGGGGTGCGTCTAAAATAAGGCTGCCCCATGTGCAGGAAAATACCCATACAGCAGACCAGTCACGTCGAAGCCAGAGTCTAGCAGCCAATCCAAGCCTGAGTAGGAAGGAAGGGCTTTTTGGGGGATTTAGGGAATTAGGGTTTAGGGTTTAGGGTAGGGTCAAGGCAAGGGTTTTTTGGGGAGTAGGAAGAAAGGGCTTTTGGGGGTTCAAGGTTTAGGGTCAAGGCAAGGGTTTAGGGGAGTAGGAAGAACTCGCTTTTTGGGGGGTTCAAGGTTTAGGGTCAAGGCAAGGGTTTTTTGGGGAGTAGGAAGAAAGGGCTTTTTGGGGGGTTCAAGGTTTAGGGTCAAGGCAAGGGTTTAGGGGAGTAGGAAGAAGGGGCTTTTTTGGGGGGTTCAAGGTTTAGGGGAGTAGGAAGAAGGGGCTTTTTTGGAATTTAAGGTAACTAGGGGATTAAGGTAAGGGGGGATGAGCTTGAAAATAGGCCACCCTAAACCCCTAAACCCTAGACACTCAACCCTCAACCCTGACCAATCTCTGAATGAATGAATGAATGAATGCGGCCATCGAAAAACCGCCGCGTATTCCTGCAGCACAGTAGTATGCCGATCCAGTGCACTTTCTTCTGTGGACCCTAAACCCTAAACCCTAAACCCTGAATCGGAGTTGAGCGCTTCAGGTTCAGGAGGACATGCACATCCTGGAGAGACAGCCAGTTGTGAGTTCAGCACTGGCGCCAGTCGCACGGACAACCTATAAACATAGTAATGCGCGACTAAAAACTAAAACATATATATATATATACATATATTGTAAATATAGCAATATAATCATGTAACTGTGTAATCACGTAATAATACAATAATAAACCAATATAGCAAAAAAAAAGTGCAATAATCGTTTTACACAAAAAAAGTAGCAACAACTCAAGAATGTAAAGAATTATACTTTTCTCTTAGCATCCCTCCTGACCTCGAAGACTCTAACACCTCATAGAGGCGCCTTCTAAACCCTAAACCCTAAACCCTAAACCCTAAACCCTAAACCCTAAACCCTAAACCCTAAACCCCTTGAAGAAAGCCTCACTGCCTCCGAGCCACCCTGCTTGGTCTCCTCCTTTGTGGGCTGTGCTTTGGCCCAGTCTTCCTCCGAGTGCATCTGCGAGTCTACATCGAATATGGGTTCACTAAACCCTAAACCCTAAACCCTAAACCCTAAACCCTAAACCCTAAACCCCTAAACCCTAAACCCTTAAAGGGACTAAGGCCCGAGAACGTTCCGTGATTTATGTCGCAGATGCGGCTGGGCACATGGCAGGCGAAGACGTGAAGGGAAAAACCGTCTTTGGCTCACTCAACATACAGAAACCCCTTCTGAAGACATCGGCCCATAACCATGTTTCCTCCGCAGCTCTTGGCACTTGATATCGGGTTCTGGATTCCCTTAGCTTGATAGCGCCCACACGAAGAACCCTGAGGAGACTTCCCCTACAACACTCCCAAGGATGGGTTTAGGAGTTTAGGGTTTAGGGTTTAGGGTTTAGGGTGGGGGCCTGCAGCGTGTCACCCTGCTGATCTTCGCCGTAGTACTGGCAGATCTTCCTCAGAGGAGCCGCTCTCTGGTGCCGTGAGAGCAGAGAACGGGCAAAGAGGGATATATGGAGGGCCCGTAGAAGGGACCCCAAACCTTATAAAACCCTGGATAACCCATGTATATATATATATATACATACATGTATGTGTATATGTACATACGTATATATATATATATATATCATTGGTTCCTATATACCTAAGTAGCCCCTACATGATGCCTAAGGTCCCTTGGTCCCTCCTTTAGTCCCTCGAGGTCCGGCGCAGGAATTTGCAAACCCATGATCCCAGACCCCGAGCCCTAAACCCTAAACCCTGAACCCTGAACTGAACCCTGAACCCTGAACCCTAACCCTGAACCCTAACCCTAAACCCCAAACGGCCTTCTGTCACAGTAGGGTTCCTTTTTCTGAACGACGTCGTTCCCTTGCCCACATGAAACCCATAACCTGGCCCGGCAAGCTGCACATAGTGACATAGTAGTATAGCAATGCAGTATCTGACTTCTCTAAGATTAACCTAATATAATAATCAATAATATAGAAAACTAGTTGTAAACAATAACATAATGATACAAAATGATAAGAAACATGCAATAATGTAACAGTATAATGATATAACCATGAAAAACACCATGCCAGTCTGGGTCCTAGACAAGTGTGAGGTTTCAAAGCAAGGTGCTTGACATACGCCTGGTCGAACTTCGGCTTAGAGTTCCCTCCGTCCGCCGCCTTCGTCCGCTTCTTCTGCGAGGCGATCTCCTGGGTTTGGGGTTTAGGGGTTTTCTGCATAGGGTTTTGGGGTGCAGGGTGTAGGGCTTTGGGGTTTAGGGTGAAGAGTTTTGGGGTTTAAGGTTTGGAGTTTTGGGGGTTCAAGCTTGGGCCCACTTTGTATTTCCTACTCGTGATGGCGGCAAGCAGCGTCCATGTAGGCTGGTCGAACACCAACGGTCTGCACGGAGAACCTTGGGATACTGAGGGTAGTTTCATGGGCCCTTACAGGGGATGGAAGGGGTATATAAGAGGTACGTATAAGGGCCATATCAGAGGTTTGGTAAGGGAACCTCCTAGGCATACATCCTTAGGGTCCGAGTATGACTCCCTACAGGGTTGGGGTATATGGAACTTCACCACCACTAAATTAGTTTAGGATTTACACGGCTGGGTACACAGAAAGAGCCCCACAGCAATGGCACGTCAAGGGCCGAACCTCTACACCTTGCTATTGTTGTTGTGGACTGCAGTAGATGAGGTAATTTTATTGTGGGCTCAGGGTTTGCAACTGTAGGGTCCTTGAAGTTCAAGGTTTGAAGCACCCTAAACTGGACGAACTAAACCTTCCAAGGCGCATGTTATCCGGCCCAACCTTTCCACCATGATTTCCTGGGGTGCGGCAGGGGCGGACGGGCTCAAGCATTTCGGTTTCGGCGTTCGGACAGTTTGTGGTTTGGGGGGGGGGTCTCCCTAAACCCTAAACCCTAAAACGATTCTGATCGACTCCGAGCAGCGCTGCTCTCGCTCCTGCTCCTCTTGCACGGCCTTCTTGGTCTTGGCCTGCTCCTTGAAGAGCTTCTTCCTTCAGGTAGGGTTTAGGGTTTAGGGTTTAGGGTTTAGGGTTTAGGGTTTAGGGTTTAGGGTTTAGGGTTTAGGGTTTAGGGTTTAGGGTTTAGGGTTTAGGGTTTAGGGTTCAGGGTTTAGGGTTTAGGGTTTAGCGTTTACGGTTTAGGGTCCTGTAAGTCAGCTGGTCACTGACTTGAAGCCCGACTTCCCCCAATTAACCCGTCGAATCTAGGGCCCAAGCCAGAAGGTGGTCCATACCCGTCGCCTATACCGGTGTAGCCCCCAAACAAGAAGCCTCAGATCTCCTGAGCCCTTGAGCGTGTTTGGGGCTTAGGGTCGCTTGGTTTAGGGTTTAGGGTTTAGGGTTTAGGATTTAGGGGCTCAAATATGAACCCATCGACCACTTGTGCAACCCCAACTGAGGCATCTGCATCCACTTGTTCTTTCGCAGCTCGAGGAGTCCGTCGATCCTCAAGCCAACAAGTGGGCTTTGTAGGTCGGGCAGGTCAGAAAGAATCCAGCATTCAGGGTGCTTCTTGGCAGCGGATGAATACCTGCACTTTTGTTTCAACCCTAACGCCTTGCATGCTTTTTGCGCATTTTCAGCCCTAAGCCTTAGAGGCCCTAGACCATTCTACAAGGCTTGGGACTTTCGTCGCCTTGCAGGATCCGAAGAGCCAGGTGGGTTCCGAGAGTCACGTGGCTGCTGGATTCGGCTACCACCCCCCCCCCCCCCCCCCACCCCCGGCCTGAGAAACAGCAAAAAATCAGAGCTTCTTTGGTTTAGGGTTTATGGTTTATGGTCTAGGGTTTGTAGAAGGGCTTTGGGACGTTTTTTTTTTCTCTTGAAAGTTGTAGAAGGACAAACAGAACATGAGCCTAACTTGGATCCCCCCGATATCAAACCCTGCAAAAGCAGGTAGCAATCTGCAGCAAAGAAGCTGGAATTGGATACCTGAGTCACGCAGCAGCACACCGTTCCCCTGATCCAGTTTCTACGGCAGGAACCACCCTTTGTATGGTTCCCTTACCCTGAAATGTAGAGATGTGAGGTATGGGCCCTTCCTATGTAAAGTGTGTATAAGGTATACAATAGGGATAGAATGATAGAAGCTTAAAGACACCCCCCCCCCCAAAAAAAAACAAACAAACAAAAACAAATACAATAATTCCTATTTGTGTTTTTGAGAGGGCCCAACCCGGGACCCTGTCAGATATCTTGAGAGAGTTTAGAATCATGTTACCATCGTAGGAATTATAAGGGCGTGCTTTGGTGATTGTCTGAAAGGAAGCTCGTGAGTGTTGCTGGTGTTGCTTCGGATTCGCAGCAACTTTCACCCAGCATTTCTGCAGCCTAAGCCCCGAAACCCAAGCCCTAAACTCGCAAGCCGCCAAGTTAAGTCGAGCCGCGCTTGCTGTAGGCGTGCCTGCCGTTGTTGCGCACACCGGACAAGTCTTTGAGGCGTGCCGCGAAGGAGTTCATCAGCGACTCGCCCTGCTGCGTCTCCTCCAGCTGGACAGGAATTTTCTAACCCTAAACCCTAAAACCTAAACCCGAAACCAAAGCTCCCTGAGTTCCCAAAGCTGCAGCGTTTTAACGCCTTTTTGAAGCCTACACTCCAGGCCGCGGACCCTAAACCCTAAAACCCTCAACTCTAAAACCCAACCGCCAACCGCAAGCCAACCTCAAACCGAGGCTCCCCAGAAGCTCGGGTTTCGGGTTTAGGGTTGAGACTTGATGCTGCCGAAGGGCATCCAGAGTGAATCCAATGGCCTGGAGCAACTCGCAGACGCATTCGATCATGTGCTCTTCGGGCAGAGGGTTCTCTCCCTGCTTGATGCCAATCAAGTCGTGCACCACCTGCAGAATTTGCGCTTGGGTTTAGGGAAACCCTTGTTTGAGCGCGTACTGAGGCCGAGGAGAGTGACGGGAAAGCCTAAACCCTAAAAACCCCAAACCCGGCCTAAGGCCTTTTCAGGCTGACTCATGACTTTGATGGGCCTGCTGCAAGCTTCTCTTCACGACGGTTCTAATCCATCGATCGTCTCAAGCAGCCTCGCTGCTGTTGGGTCTGTGGAGTGGAGAACAACATGAATGCCCTGAACCCATGCATGGCATTGAAATCACAACATAGTCACAACCCTGAAAGATTATGCCAATTATGCTTATCCCCGCCGTCGGTGGCGTGCCAGCTTGCCACGCGGGCTCTGTAAGTCCAGAAAAGGTCGTCTCCTACTTCCAGCCGCAGCCTCCTTCTGCAAAAAACTGTGCGGAACAGAGCCCTTCGACCACAAATGCCTTAAACCCTTTTGCCACTGGGCTTGTGGACTAGAAAGTTCCAACCTCCCCCCCCACCCCCTACTTTGAGTGATTCCTGCCTGGCCAATGACCTTCACCGCCAAGAGCTGCCGGAGGAACAAGTTGCCAATGAACTTCATGTTGGCCAACATCCTTTGTTGGGCTTAGGGTTTTGGGTTTAGGGTTTAGGTTTTAGTGTTTAGGCTTTAGGGTTTGCAGTTCAAGGATCAGCGCCTTGCAGATCGGCCTACCTGCAAAATCATGCCTCCTCGGTCCTTTCCCTCTCTCTGCATGCCTGACAATTAAGTCTCAAGCAACAGTGGCAAAGTTTCGGCAGTCAGTCGTTCAGGCCTGAGAACTTAGACCCTAAACCCTAAGCCCAAAACCCAAAACCCTAAACCCTAACAAGCATGGAATGGCATGTGGCCCCGAAACTCTTGAACTTTGGCACACCCGTTTTTTAAGCGATCGGGTGCCTCCTCAACATGGGTTTAGGGTTTAGGGTTTAGGGTGTTTGCTTTTAGGCTTAGAATTCGGTGGTCTCCTATAGCCCAGCACGCTGAAATCTGCATGTCGAGTAACTTGCCCTTGCGCTTCTTCATCTCGATGTTAAGGTCCTCAGGGTTCTCGAACTTCTTGCGGTCCTCAGAGGCAGCAGTTAGGGTTTAGGGTTTAGGCTCTAGGGTTTAGGGTTTAGGGTTCAGGGTTCAGGGGATGGGGTTTAGGGTTTAGGGTTTAGGGATTTAAGCCACAGTTGGACAGGCTTGTGGAGTTGAGTGGGGATCGGCATAGACTCCTCTGCACAGAGTTTGTGACCATGTGGCTGCTTGTGATATACCTTCAGCCTAGACCCTAAACCCCAAACCCCAAACCCCAAACCCTAAACCCTAAACCAGACCTGATCCGCAGGCAAGCAAACAAGACCATGTCCTCGTCCGACGGCTCGAAGGTGGTTGGAAGGCTCTCGAACTCGTTCTGAACCTCGCATTGTAAGCTGCATTTCATACATTGTAAGACAAGGGAGGTGCTGCTTACATATGCTCACAACCCAGATTCTTTTCGCCCTCCCTCGCTTTAAAACTTCCCTGTCCCTGGCCACCTCCGTTGATCCGCAGCAACCATACAGGGTTTAGGGTTTAGGGTTTAGGGTTTAGGCTGCAGATGGGAAGCTGTGTTCAGAAGCACGCGCGTGAAGCTGTGGGGCTTCTCGCCCTCGTTCTCTGCCGGGAACTCCGGGTATCGAGATCGCAGTGCGAAGACCATGTCTGCATAGGTCTCACCTGCGGACTGCCCAAACCAAAATCTGAAGCCTTCCTAGACCCCTTTTTGGTGCACCTTGGCATAACAGTCCCAAGCTACTTATGAGAGCGCAAACAAAAAGCAACTCCGCTTGCACGGAGCGGTTGTTGTACCGGAATGAAGTGGGAGGTCGGGCTTGTAATGTGGCTGCCAGTGCTTTTCGGTCAATACTGAGTCTCTTTGATTGCCATGCATTTGAGTTTGCATTGCATTCTACAAGATCAAAAACTGCCAGCCATAGACAGTCCCCCCCCTATATATGGGGTTTAGGGTTGGGGGTTAGGGCTTGGGCTTTCTGCTTTTGTGTTTCGGAGTCTTGGGTTGCCCTTTGGCAGCAAAGCTCCTCGCCACTGAACCCTGTTGCATCATGGCTTCTCAGTCCACGCCCGGTGGATTGCTCGTGCTTCCAGGTCTCTTGCATAAACCCTAACCCGTTTAAGCCCTAACCTCAAACCCTAAAAGCCCTAAAACCCTAAAAGTTAAAAGCCCCTAAGCCCCAAACACACTAAAGCAACCCTTAAAAGAACACCCTAAAAACCCTAACCCGAAACCCTGAAAAACCTTTTCACAAGCGACTCGACTGCTGCCCTTTCTGCCCAGCCCGTTCCCGCTCTACAGTGCCTATGACTGCAGGGCGAGATTCGCCACTTCGCGGCACCAAGCTTCAGGTACTACTCTCTAAAAATGCGTCGTATAGCTTGACAGTGGCACTGTACAAGGTATGTGGATTGCGAGATCTCAAGATGTTCATGGGAGCGGAGCACGGGACCTAAAAACCTAAAGCCCCGAACGCCTAAGACTGGTTCATGGTTGGGATAGTAGTAAAAAGTTAAAATCATATTCCTTATTGAGTTTAAGTACCCTTAAAAAATGTAGAATGTTACTCTTATTCCTTATTGAGTTTAAGTACCCTTAAAAATGTAGAATGTTACCCCCCACTCTGACAAATCAGACCCCTGTCCAGTCGAGCCGCAGTAGTGCGGCTCTACCAAGGCCTTGCCGAAGATGATCTTGATGACGAACTCCAGCCTCAATTTAGGGCTTCTTGTTCGCGTTTAGGGTTTAGGGTTTAGGGTTTAGGGTTTAGGGTTTAGGGTTTAGGGTTTAGGGTTTAGGGTTTAGGGTTTAGGATTTAGGGTTTAGGGTTTAGGGTTTAAGGTTTCGGGTTTAGGGTTCAGCTTCAATTGACGTGTTCTTTTTGCGCGTTTGGGGTTTGTAGGCTCTTGTTCAGGAACTTACCCAAAGGGCACCTTTTCCAGGGTTTAGGGTTTAGGATACCGATTCCACCCACTTAGGTTAAATTCCTTGATTTCCAGCATCCAAGATCCAGTTTTGGTTGCCTCCCGCCTGGCTACTAGAGTCTCTCTCCACTGTGCTAGGGCTTGCGGGCTTGCGAATTCAGAGGCTTTGAACGGCTTATCTTGGGAAATGCCTCTGTCAAAAAAAGACGCGCACACACACACACACACAAACACTGCAGAGGTCAGCCTGGCATCGCGACAAGCCGAGAAAATCTTATTGAGCTCGGGGGTTCAAAGGCAGTCGGGGTTTGTAGTGTATACGCTTTGGGGTAGTTCGACCTTTTTGGGGTACAAGCGTTATCCGGCTACCCGCCTCCGGGTTGAACAGCGGCCCCTCAAGCATTGGCCCAACAAGGTTTCGAGTCGCACAGGGTTGCAAGCAGGTGTATCAAGTTGATGAGCCACGCCTGCTATTCCGCACTGCTTCAGGCCCGAAACCCTACTTGGAGGTACGGGTACTTATAGGTAGGGCTATTAGATCGGGTAACTATAGCTATACCTAGTTTTTTGAATCTTAGTTAGGGTACCTTGTAACCCCCACTTATAAGTACGCCCTGAACCAAGTAAGCCCCAAATTGAAAACTGTGGCGACCCTGTCCCTCTCCCTAAACCCTAAACCCTAAACCCTAAACCCTAAACCCTAAACCCTAAACCCTAAACCTCTCTTCATTGCAAGGAACTCTTCTGCCTTCTGCAGCTCGATCTGGGCCTTTTTTGCGGGCGCGCGCTTTCAGGGCTGAGGGTTTAGGGTTCAGGGTTGTTTGGGGTTAAGGTTATTTTTCCTGTTTTAAAGGGTTTGGGCTTAGGGTTTAGGGTTAAGGGTCTAGGGTTGCGGGTTTAGGGTTTAGGGCTTAGATTCAGGGTTCTGGGTTTAGGGTGGCAGGTGTCATCTATACAACGTCAGTTGGTCCCTTGTGTGAGTACCAAAGGACCTCGCCTGTCCACTTCCTTGCTCTTTGGTTGCCTAAACCTCGTATTCTAAGATACAACCTACTTGGTAGACCAGTAACCGTAGTCTTAACTTAAGATATTTTAAGAAGGGCACCCTTTTTGGGTTGGTTTCTTCATACGGGAACCTTGGGCTACCAAGACTACCAAAAAATGCCACAATGAGCTGCCAGTCCATTTGAGAGATATAAGCACAGGGCCTCACTCGAAGTGATTCCAAGTGGCGGAGCCGAAGAACTGAAGGTCTTTGCGCTTCAGGGTTTGGGGTCTTTTAGGATTTTTATAATGGGGTTTAGGGTTTAGGGTTTAGGGTTTAGGGTTTAGGGTTTAGGGATCTCTTTTTTTGACCACCCGCCTTGTGCTATCTATCTGTCGGGATTTAGGGTTTGAGGACATATCTGTCCTCTTGGGGTTCATACAGACCAGCCACACTGCAGGTAAATAGGGTTCATACCTGGGTTGGAGGTTTGAGGTGTAGGCTTGCGCGAGCATGTCCTGGTGGACGTCTACAGGTTCAGCAAGGCTTCCCAATCCATCCACTAGCACTGATTGCTGGAGACAATGCGGCCTAAACCCTAAACCTTGAAACCCTAGCCCTAAACCCCCCCCCCCCCCCCCCCCCCCAAAAAAAAAACAGCCCAACATGCCATGGACTTGCCCACGCGGCCAGGGTCTCCACGATCGTCTTAAGGTTGTCAGGGCAGATCTTGTTCAAGAGACCTCGCACCCTTCTCTCAAGCTCCTGTCCAGGTACTCTTTCTTTTTGCCAGTTGCTGAGTACCCTGGGCCTTTAATTGTGTTTGGATTTCATGTACCCCAAAAGGTTAGTTAAAGGCTACCTACTCAGCTACTGAGTTTTGTATGGTCCAAGCTTCGACGCAGATGAAACGAACCGACGGACAGGGTTCGCGAAGGCAACGCGGGGTGCGACGAAGCTTTCTGCAACATGTGGGGGTTTACGCAATTAGGAGTACCTCCTTGGGTCCTTACTACAAGGGAATCCTATTTGGGGGTCTATCTTGGGGGTCCCCTATCGTCGTGAACTCCCATGTGGATTTTCTGTTTGGGTCCACACTGGCTTGCTTGAGCCCTGCTTGCCCTGCAGCTTCATGTTGAGCACACTAGGAACTGACCCACGCGAACCTCTGCGAGAAGGCCTCTTCAAAATATCTTCAACCCTAGGCCCCAATTAAACCCCAAGCCCTAGAACCCTAAACCCTAAACCCCAAACCCTAAACCCCAAAAGTCTCCTCCAAGCGAGACTGGGGCTCGGTAATCTTGTAGGCATTCTCGCCCTGCTTGAGCGCCTGGGAGGTTGGTTGCGGCTCGTGAACTGAGGGTTTAGCGTTTACCTGGGTTTAGGGTTTAGGGTTTTGGGGTGAAGGTGGTCATGTCTACAACTACTGCACGGTGAAGGTGGTCATGTCTGCCTAAACCCTAAACCCTAAACCCTAAACCCTAAACCCTAAACCCTAAACCCTAAACCCTAAACCCTAAACCCTAAACCCTAAACCCTAAACCCTAAACCCTAAACCCTAACCCTAAACCCTAAACCCTAAACCCAACTTCTGCACCTGAAGCCGTCAGCCAGAAGCCCCGAAAGGGCCCAAGCTCAACCCAACCTCTGGCTAACCTCCCAAGCCCTGAGCCCTTTTGAACCCTGACCTCTCAACCCGAAACCCTAAAACATACAGGGTTTAGGGTTTAGGGTTTAGGCTTCAGGGCTCCTGTGGTAGCTAAACCCTAAATCCTTTTTGCATCCAGGCCCTATATATGTGGCTGCCGGGTACCAGGGCCGAGCTCTGCAATCAGTAGAAAAGCCCTAAATGCCCTAGAAACCCTAAACCCTAGAACCCAGAACCCTAAACCCTAAACGCTAAACCCTAAACCACTAAAGCCCTAAATACCCTAAAAATCCTAAAGCCCCTCTCTGCCAGGCATTCGCAATGAAACCTAAACCCTAAACCCTAAACCCTAAACCCTAAACCCTAAACCCTAAACCCTAAACCCTAAACCCCTAAACCCCTAAACCCTAAACCCCTAAACCCCTAAACCCCAAACCCTAAACCCCTAAACCCCTAAACCCCAAACCCTAAACCCTAAATCTGGCGGAGCACCGGCTCACGCCGGGCGGGCCGGCGGATGTCGTTGGTGACTGGCGTGTTGCGCTGCGCGTTGCCTGACTTGATGGAGGGGTTTAGGGTTTAGGGTTAGGGTTTAGGGTTTAGGGTTTAGGGTTTAGGGTTTAGGGTTTAGGGTTTCGGGTTTAGGGTTGAGGGTTTTTTTTGCCACCCGCTTTGAGGGTTTGGGGTTTAGGGTTTAGGGTTTCATTTATGTATGGTTTAGGGGCATAGACGGTTCTTCCGGGGAAAGCAGATGAACCCTGAAAGGGTTTATGGTTCCTACTGCCTTGAAAGGCCCGAATTTTAGGGTTCATTTGGCCTTCAGGGTTCGGGCCTTGGAGCTCACAGGCTTCAGGGTTGAACTCTAGCTTAACGGGTTTTGCTTTTGCTTGGGGGCTGAAAGAGTCTGGGGTTACATTGGAGGCTAAGAGGGTGAAGGCAGGGCTTGCAGGGTTGGGGGGGGGGGGGGACACCTTCATCTCTCAAGCTCGAGCGGCCTAAGGCATGAAACCGTGCACCACCATAAACACCCTCACCATGTGTTTTTTTGTGGAAGCTTCTAAACCTCGTTATCCTCCAAGTAAGGATGTGC